TTTTTTTTTTTGCGGAACTGGGGATAGAACTCAAGCCCTTGCGCTTGCCAGGGAAGCACTTATTCCACTGAGCCATCTCCCCGGCCCCTGAACTTAATTCTTGACAGACATGATGGATATCTCACCAAAAAAATCCAGACCTCGTGATCTTTTCCACTGCTCGGCTCACCTTGCAGGAGAGGAGTGAAGGGCCCAGTGCTGGAACTGGGGCTTTCAGGATGCGTGGCGGTCTCACTGCGTGACCTCTTGTGAGTCACGGTCCTCCGTCAGCTTCCCATTCTTCACTTGATGTAAGGGAGTTGGCCAAGGTGAGGTGGCACCTCTTGCACACCAGGCCTCCTGTGATTCATGGGCCTGTGTGTGACCTGAAGACACACGGATGGCCACACACTGTGTAATGCACTGCCACAACCCCAAAGCACCGGGCCAGTATCCCTGGACACAAGAAAATGAACCCACTGCTGTTCCAGCCCTGCCAAGAGGGGAGGGGTCACTTCACAGAGGTCAACTCAACAGCCTGCCTCCTTCCCTTTGTGCCTGTTCTGTGTGCCTCCTTTCCTGTATATGTCTTAGCCTTGAGTTCTTACTGCTCCCCAAACTGTTAGCATCCCTTTCCCAGCTATTCTCTGCCCCTCCCCTTCAGTGTCCCTCTTCCTTCCCTTCCGCGTTCTGGTGTTTCTCACTCAGCCACGCCAGGCATGCATTTCTCTGTTTATTTTTCCTCTCTCTTATCGCCTACCACCCAGGTTCCTTGGGGGCCCATATTCTCCCACACATGCACCTGGGAGCACTTCTTGAAATAGCAGAGGGGAATCCCCAAGTTATCCAGCTCCAAAAAAGGTGTTTGGGGCACTAGGAGAAGCCCATATTCCAGAGCCCCTCCCAGAGAAGGAATTTGGGGCCCAGGTTAGATGCCAGCCCCACCCACGACTTAATTAAGGAGAAAGGGAGGGAGTGAAGGGGGGGAGGGGAAACTTCCGGGATGTTCAGGGTTAAAAGGGAAGGTCTGGCTTGGGGTCCCTGGACAGAGGACTCTAGCGACCCACACAGCAGGGTAGAGGCGCCTCTCCAGGTCTCCTCCCTTCTTCCTATTGGCGACTTCAGGTGAAGGGGATGCACCCCACCTCGGCTAGGGTGGGTGGAGAGGATGGGTGGGACCCCTCAGGCCACCCAAGGGAAGGAATCCTATTCGAGCCGCAATTTCTTTATCTAAGGGATAGGAAAGTCATCCAGCTGTGAGGTTTGGGAAGGGACTTCCACTAGCTAAGAGCCTAATTCCCCCCCACCCCCATCTGCGAAAGAGTGACCCCAGCGGGGAGCCGCGGCAAGCAGCCAGGGCCACGTGGGCTCACTGAGCGCCCTGCTGGAGCTGGGGAGGAAGGTAGGAGAAAACCAGGGGAGCGTCATTAGGGTAACTGCACCCATTAGGGTTGTTGTAGCTCACTGTCCCTGCGGTGGTCCGCTGCAGCTTAACCAAAATCCCAGCGAGCAGGAGTGGCCGAGGCGAGCCAAACTAGGGTCGTCTTTTAACTCGCCTCCTGCCCTCCAGCTCAGGTCCGGGCCATGAGATCCTTGCACCTCCACCTTTCTGCTTCCTCTGGCCCCCGGGCCCTGGGGAAGCTGTTGCTTCCGCTACTGATGGCGCAACTGTGGGGTGAGCCGGGGCGCAGGGGGCGGCGGGAGGTGCCGAGACCGGGGGCGGCGAAGGTTCTATTACCAACCCCGTCACACCTATCTTTCCCCCTGCGACCCCAGCCCCCACTCAGCATCCGGGAGCGGGGCGGCCCTGGTGTCCTTCACGCTTCTCTTCCAGCTTTGTCCCTGGTCATCCCGCCCCATTCCAGCCCCATCCCTTTTACCCCTCCAAGATAACGACTTCCCTTCTCTCTTCACCAAAGATTTTCTCCTCTCTCCTGCTCTTCCTCATTCTGTCCCTGCCCCTTCTTACTCTACTCTATTTTATTCCCAAATCTTACCTCTTTTTGCCCTCGCCCCTTTTCCAATCCCGTTGGGATATTCCCACCCTTTCTCTCCCACAGCATTTGATTCTGGCCAAGCCCCATAACCGCGGGCTCTATCCACGCCTCCTCATCGACGCTCAGGGTTCTTCCCCGCCCCTTATCACCCCCCTTATGACCCCCATCACCCCCCATCTTATCGCCTCCCCTCCCCGCTGCGTTCTGCCCTTTATGGCCCCTCTGTGCTCTCGCCCCGCCCCTGCCCCTCACTCCTGGTCACGTTCTGTCCCCGCCTCACCGCTGCTCCACAGCGTCTGCGCCCCCTCAGGGCCCCACTCCTGCCGCCCTAAGTGCGTGCGGCCCTGCTCCTCCGCGCCCAGCCGTCTCTCTCCATCTGTCCCCGCCTTTGGCACTGCCACGCCTTTCATTTTCGCCCACTTCTACTCTGTTCAAACGGTTCCCTACTTCCCTCCTGGCTTCGCCCCTACCCCGTCGAGTCCAGTGGCCCTGACCCCAACCCCTGCCCTTACCCTGCCTGTTCTGATCAATGCCCGCCCCTGTTCCTTTTCCAGTCTCGGAGGCGCAGCTGCCTGGAAACGACACTGGCTTCGACCGAGCGGTGTCCCCTGGCCTGTGCCCACGCGGTTCACAGCCCTGGCAGGTGGCGCTCTTCAACGGCCTCAAATTCCACTGCGCAGGCGTCCTGGTGGCCCCCAGCTGGGTGCTCACGGCTGCGCACTGCTGGAACAACAAGTAGGGCGCGTCGGTCGAGGGTGCGACTCAGGAAGTGGGGTTAACAGCCCGGGGAAGGAGGGAAGGGCCTGGACCCTGTGCTCTCAGAGCTCGGGGTGGCGTTGGTCCTGGAGTTCGCAGAGGCAGGGCGTCTGCTATGGCCACTAGGGGGCAGTGTGGCCTTTCTCGGGCCGGTTCCATTTAGCAAATAGGTCCGTATATGTCCGTGGCAGGACAGAAGTCAGAGTGGCCTGTGGTGGAGAATTTAGAACTAAAAGAAGATGTATGCCGCAGGAGTTTCCACCGTGGATGAAGGGCGGGATGTCATAAAAAAGGAAAGGGGGCGCTCACCGGGAGTCCCGCCCTAGCCCTTGATTCCCACAGCCCCCAGAAGCCCACTGGATTCCTTGTGCCCACATCCAGGACTTCCTTCTCCAAACCCTCCTTCCTCCGACCCAAGCGTTCTAGCCCCTCCGTCTTTGAGACTCTCCCATCCCACTTCATGCCAGGGATTCAGCCAGTGCGTCCCTGTCTATGTGAATGGCCCACCTCCTCGTGGCCCTTCTTTCCCCAGGAAGCTGTGGGCTCGAGTCGGGGATGACCACCTGCTGCTGCTTCAGGGAGAGCAGCTACGCCTGACTACTGAGGCCTTTATTCACCCCAAGTACCACCAGGGCTCGGGCCCCATCCTGCCCAGGCGGACGGATGAGCACGACATCATGCTATTGAAGCTGGGGAGGCCCGTTGTGCTGGGGCCTCGTGCCCAGACCCTGCGGCTGCCCTTCAGCTGCACCACCCTGAGAGACAACTGCCATGTGGCTGGCTGGGGGACCACAAGCAGCCGGAGAGGCAAGACGGGGCCCCAGACACCGGGTCTGAGGGAGGAGGAGGAGGCCTGGGAGAGACAGTCTTGCATTTGGACAATCGAGTTCCAGAGGAAGGCGCTGGCCCCGGAATGACCTGGCATTTTCTCCCGTCAGTGAAGTACAACAGGAGTCTGAGCTGTTCCAGGGTCACTCTTCTGAGCCTGAGAGAGTGTGAGGTCTTCTACCCCGGAGTGCTCACCAACAACATGATCTGTGCTGGACTGGACGAAGGCCAGGACCCTTGCCAGGTAGAGCTGGGCCGGGAAGCACCTCTGACTCATGGAGGGACAGCAGGGCGACTGTGCGAGAGATACCCTGCCTCTGCCCCCAGCTCCATGCCCCAGCCATCCCTAACCCCAGCCTGTCCCAACCCTAACCTCTCCTCATCCCTGTCCTCAGCCCCCTGCCTGCCCTATCTCCAGATCTCCCTGCTTCCTGCACCTACTATAAGCCACAGTCCCAAGTATAGCCCTGCCGCATCTCCATTCTCCCACCCCGACATGCACACTTCAGAGTCCACTCCATACCACCCCAGTGTACCCCAACACCACGCCTCATGCCTCCCCACCTCCAGGTCTCTATCTCTATCCGCCTTACTCCAGTCGTCCTGCCCCTACTGCCCCTTCATTGCCTCACACCCCAAGGTGGCAGGCCTCACACTGGGGTCTCTTCTTCCTCCCACCCTCACACAGAGTGATTCTGGCGGCCCCCTGGTGTGTGATGAGACCTTGCAAGGCATCCTTTCCTGGGGTGTTTACCCCTGCGGCTCTGTCCAGCATCCGGCAGTCTACACTCAGATCTGCAAATACACCAACTGGATCCAGAGAATCATCCGTTCCAACTGACCCGGGCCCTGCACCCCTGCAGCCCTGCCCTCCTTCTCCCTGCACACAGAAGCCTGTCTGCCCGTACACTCCCTTCCCTCACCCCTGCCTTCTCTCCACTGCTCACACTGGAGTCCATGTATAGGAAGCAGTGGCAGAATTTTGTTCCAGCTGGCCTAGTCACTCAGCCTCAGAGAGACACCATCAAGTTCCCCCGCCCCCCAGGCTTCTTAGACCACTTTCTGCCATGTGGCACAAGCTCATTGTCCTCTCTGGGCCTTGATTTCCTCATCTGCAAGATGGGGACAATGAAGTGTCTATGTCTCAGACATATATTGAGGAGACAATGATGCAATGCGTGTGTGACTCTTTCTGGTCACTGTCATATAAGCTCGAACTCAGTGATGGGTGAGGGTGACTGAACATCATCTATCCTGATCACGTCCTAGTTCAGGTATGAGGATTCCATCTGGGGTGAACAGCACAGGGGTGGCCTCCAACCCTGTCTCCAGGGACATGCATATTCCCAGTGCTGCTCCCAGGCCTCAGGAAGCACCTTTTACTGATTTCCTCCTTTCCTCCCACCTTTTCCCATTTCTGAGTCCACCCAACACCTGTTCCTCCACTCCTGGTGCAGCTAGCCTGGTGTGAGTCACCTGGCACATCCTGTACATGCACGGGATCACAGGAACTCAAGGAAACCTACTATGCCTCCAAAACTGGAGGGCAGGTGTGCCTCGGTTACAATGCCTGTGTCCGGCAGCCTCTGTCTGAAGTTTCTTTGGTTGGCTTGTGACTTAAGTGGCTTTGAGATTTTTGTCTTGCAAGCTCAGGAGACACTGTCCTCCTCTCTCTAAGTATTTGTCCAAATATTTCCCACTGGCTGGAGCCAAGTGGGGGTGTCATACACAGAATCCAGGCAAAGCCAGGGGGGCACTGAGCATCTCCACTGAGCCTGGATGCTGCAGCCAGCACCCAAGCTGGACATAGGCACCTCCAAAGCTTGTCGGGGGAGGTGATCCGGTTCTGGCCCCCCTTTATTTTGGTACTGGGGATAGAACTCAGAACCTTATGTTTGCCAGCTCTCTGTTCCCCCTTTCAATCACCTACTTCTCAAGAACATGCTCTATACTGGGCCCAGCACTGCATGGTAGGGACATGGGAACAAGCACAGCAAGGCCCCTACTCCCAGAACCCACACACAGGCAAGGTCTGCACCCTCCCTTCAGTTGGTTTATCACCATCATGACCCAGGAGCACACCCAGGAAATGTCAGCCTGGTCTCTCAGATGAGGATGTTGCCCTAGGACCAGAAGCAAAGTAGGTGGGAACTCCCTGGGGGACTCATGTTTAAATTCCGTTCGCTGCCACATGTTATGACTCACGCCCTCTGCCAGGTGCCAGTGATGGGGCCAGCCAACTCCTACCCTCAGGAAGCTGCTTGTCAGGTGTGGGAGAAAGCCTTCTGCTCTTGTCATCCAGCTCTTTCCTCAATGTGGCCTCCTCCAGGAGACCTGCCTGGATTGCCTGGCTGGGGACTCGCCAATCCCACACACTCTGCTTCCTTCTGCCCTGCAACCACTACAGCTGGATTCTTTCACTCAGCTACTCCCTTTGGATGGTCTCTGTGCCCTCCCTCCACGTGCATACACATGAAGCCCATGAGGACAGGGGCTCAGGTGCTCACGCATTGTCTTCCAAGCACTTGTCAGAGTGCCGGGTGGTACACTGTTGAATGAACAGGTCACACACACTGCTCAGCTGCTCAGCTCTGTAAGAGAGGAGGAGGCAAAGGTGTACCACAGGGTGTCAGGAAGGTGTACCACATGGGAAAGAGGAAGGGAAGAGGTGATGAAAGAATCAGGGAAGGGTCTTCCCACAAGGGGACATTTATGTGGGGTTTTAAGGAATAAGTAGGAGCCACGTACAGCCTTGCACGCCTGTAACCTCAGGACTCTGGGAAGCTGAGGCACAAGGGTGGCAACTTGGAGCCCAGCTTGGGGAACTGTGTAAGATTCAGTCTCAAAAAATAGAAAGGGCTGGGGATGTGGTTCTAAGTAGGTGCTTTAGACCACTGAGCCATCTCACCAGCCCCTCTTTCTTTCTTTTTTTTTTTTTTTGTATTTTGGGGAAGGGTCTACAGAGTGTTGAGGGTCTCACTATTAGATTGGACTCGTAGTGGTCTGTTTACAGTCTCCTAAGAGCTGGGATTACAGGCGTGTGCCACAATGCCCAGTCTCAATTGCTGTCTCAGCACGCCCTGGGGGTCGCCCAACACAGCAGGCCTGGGGATTGAACCCCAGATCCTTGAGCCTGCTTGTAGGTGCTTTAATCCACTGAGCTATTTGGCCTGCCCTAATCACTGTAATTTGGATGTGGGTTTTGAATGCCCAGAGAGGGCAAAGATCAACTTTGGCAGGAGAAATCGGAGAAGACATCGTGGAGGAGGGCATTTACGTTGGGTCATGAGGGGTGGGGAGGAGTTCCCACACAAACAGCTATTAAAAAAAAAAAAAGACATTTGCTCATTCAATGAACATGTTCTGAGGAGTTCCAGAAGCCTAGCCCAGAACTGGGTGATCCTGGGGACATGGGATGAGTCAGATGAGGGCTGGGCCCTCCAGGGGCTGCTCATCTGGTGAGAAGGAGGATGGGGAAGAGGAAGGGAAGAAGGAATGACAGCAAGGACAGCATGGGGAGGGGAGAGCCGAGAGGGGAGATCAGGAGGACTTGCAAGGAAGGGGCTTTAGGGAGAGGGGTGGGTGCTTTTCCCTCATAGTGGGACACCTGGGTCTTTGGGGGGGGGGCGAAACTGACCAGAACAGGTCATGACAGGAGTGGGTTAATCCTCAGGGGACCAGGTTTCCCAACAGCTCTCTGCCTGTCTTTCCTCCTCCTCACCCTAGTCCTTCTGGGTCTCCCTCCCTCCCGTGAGCCTCCTTCTTCTCTCTGAGCAGATCTTTCTCCCATTCTTACTTGCTCTGGGTGACTCCCTGAACCCCTTTACTCTGTGCTGTGAAGTTGGCCAGGCACACCCCACTTCACCCAGAATAAACCTGCCAGGTCCTCATACCCCCTTTGGAATGTTCCTCCTCCTTCAGGCCACAAAAGATTCTGGACCTAGATCCCTCAGTATGAGGTGGGGGGAATGGGGGCACCCACAGCCTGTGTGCCCCACCTCTCCTGCAGCAGGTAGTTCTGTTCCAACCAGGGCCAGCTCATCCTGAAAGGTGCTCACCCCCAACTGGGGGTCCCTTGCATCCACCTCCCTTCCCAGGCCTCCACAGCCCTGGGGCTTCCCCTCCCGGGGTCATTTCTCAACCCTACTTAATCACTGGGGCGGCCTCAGGGAGGAGGAAGCCATGCATGGCTTACCATAAAGATGGGCTCATACCAAGCTTGGCCAAGGACCCAGCGCGTAGAGGCCATGAAGTTAGGATTCACCTGGGCTCTGCTCTCCCTCCTGGCCGGTGAGCCTCCCACCCTGCTGGCCCTCTGAGCCAGCTCATCGGTCTCCCCACCACCCGGCCCACCACCCCAGCCCTGGCCTTCTGCATCTTGTCCTCTCTCCCAGCCTGCTTAACACTGGCCTCTCTACCCTCACCCCACCCAGGGCACAGCTGGGCAGACATTCGGGCTATTGGAGCTAAGGAATGTGCCCGCAACTCACAGCCTTGGCAGGCTGGCCTTTTCTTCCTCACCCGGCTCTTCTGTGGGGCAACGCTTATCAGTGACCGCTGGCTGCTCACAGCTGCCCACTGCCGCAAGCCGTGAGTACCCGGAGGGGCTACTCTGGGCAGGGGCTAGGGTGCCAGGAGAGAGGGCTGGGGAGGGGGTTTCCCTGTTAGAAGAAGGAGGGGTAGGCAGAAAAAGCAGAGCCTTCTCATTTGATGCCACACATCCAACTCAGGCTTACCAGGGGTAACCTTTCCAGATCCCCAAATCTCAGATCCTGAAATACCTGTTTCTAAGAGTTTTGAGAGAGTCTGAGAGATTCAGAGAGTCTGAGAGACTTCTGGTCGCAAGTGTAGGCTATTAAGATCCAATCCAAGCCTCTGGGGCCGGGGAGATGGCTCAGTGGAGTAAGCACTTGCCTGGCAAGCGCAAGGGCCTGAGTTCAATCCCCACTTCCACCAAAAAATAAAAAGTAAAAAAAAATAATAATAATCCAAGCCTCTGACCCTGAGAAAACCAGAATTATAGAATCGTAAAACCTTGAGCCTATGAAATCCTGGAATCATAGATCCAGCAAGGATCAGAATAATCTTAGTGGTCCAGACCAGTGCGGTCTAAGAGAAAAGTTATACCACTTACCACTATAAGCTTCAGTTTTCTAGGACGAATGCAAGTTCAAGCCCAATCTGAGCAACTTAATTAATAAAAGGAATTTAATGATAGATTTAACTGTATATACTCAAAATATTATTTTAACATGTAGCTATTTTTAAATAATTACAAATGCCACAGTTCTCTTTCCATTTCTTCTTCTTTTTTTAATAGTTAGACTTCAAAATCCGGCATGAGTTTCACACATAGGACAATCTGAATTTCAACTAGCCACACTGCAGGTGTTGGTGGGCTCTTCTGGCTAGCACAGTCTTAGAAACTTAGTTTTGGAGTGTTACTGGTTCACTGAATATAGACACTTCAAGTGCTGGAATGTTGGAGCAACAATATCACCCACAGAATCCTAGAATCTTGCCTGAGAGAATTCTGGAGGGCAGTTTTCATGAACATGTAGAATCTGTAGAACTTGTTCTAATATACCAGAGTTATAAGAGTCCAGTCTTAAAAACTAGGAAGTTTTAATTTGGAGAAATTCTTACACTACAGGCTTGTCAGATTTCTCTGATGGTAACATTTTAGTCTTATTGTCTCAGAATCACAGAACGCTAAAATCTTTTAAGTATTAGACTTAATGCAGATAAATCTTGGGGGCTTTTGAGTCAGAGAAATATAGAAGTAGAGACTCTTAGAACCTTGGATCCACAAATTTCAAGCTTGAGTGTCTTAAAATTCAAGAATCACGGAAAGCAGAGTGTTAGAATGTTAGAAATGGTAGAACTGTAGACTCCACATGAAGCAGGCATCCCTTCTCTATTATCTCCGAGTGAGGGCCATCCGCCCTCTTCTCATATTCTTCCATCCAATAATACAGCCCAGAAGCTGACACGGGCTGCTGTGTGGGAATTTCCTATCATGCCCAACTCCATGTTCTCTTTTAACTCTAGCCTGCAATTCAGGCTAGATGAACAACGTTTAGATTTAGCTCCAAAGACAAAAGAGGAAGGAGTGATACAGAGATGAAAGAAATCAGAGGCTACAATGGGAGTGAAGGAGGTCACTTCCCCAGCCCAGAGCCAGAATCTCAAGGGTCTCAAAGAAGGACAGAGAAAAAAAAGTAACATCTCACGCTCAGGACTTGGGAAACAATTCTCAGTCACTAGCCTAGTGCCCAGTGTCAGAGCTCCGAAGCTGGGTAATGGAAGTGTAGATGCCAGAGGGTCCTCAACCGTTCAGAGCAAAATACCTGGGCTGAGACTGAACAAAAGGGCCTAAGGTTAAGACTAAAGACGTGTCAGGGTAAGTGAAGGATATGAGAAATAAAAAAGTTTAAGGCTACAGATGACCCCCAATTAGGGGATTTTCCATATTCCATCCCCTTACGCACACACACACACACACACACCCACCCACCCAAAGCATCCTCAGAGTCACTACCACAGAAGCTACCAGACTTGTGGGGATAGGGGTGGAGTTGTTATTGTGTGACAGGTGGGGCCCCCAGAGGCCCACAAGGTTCCCAGAGGACCCAGGTCACCATGGAGGCTCCAGATGTGGCAGTGTAAAAGGAGGCTCACTTTGCGTGCATGGTAAGTTAAGGGTGATACTTTTTTCAGAGAGCTACAAAAGCAAGGTAAATAAGTCAGAATGGGGAGCAGGGACCCAGAGAGGGTGTGGGGCATATGGAAGACCATATTCCACGCTGATGGGCAGAAAGAGGAGATGGGCTGAGAAGCCCCTAACCCCTGCCTCTCCTGGGCTTGACCCCTGAGGTGTGTCCCAACAGGTACCTGTGGGTCCGTCTTGGGGAGCACCACCTCTGGCAGTGGGAGGGTCCAGAGAAGCTGTTCCTGGCTACAGAATTCTTCCCCCACCCTGGGTTCAACAAAGACCTAACCGCCAACGACCACAACCATGACATCATGCTGATCCGGCTGCCCAGGCGGGCACGTCTGGGGCCTGCTGTGCAGCCCCTCAACATTAGCACGACCTGCGTCTCCCCAGGCACTAAGTGCCTCATCTCAGGCTGGGGGGCGGTGTCCAGTCCCAAGGGTACGGACTGGCCCAGGCCATCTCAGCCCAGGGTCTGTTCTCTGTTGTCTCCTCTCCCTCCTCCTTTTCCCTTTGTTTCTACCAATCACATCCCAACCTTAAGAGGCATCATGCTATAAACTGCTAAAAGTAGGGGAGGTGGAAAGCAAAGTTCTGTGGGCAGCGTGCTGTCATTGACCGGAAGACACATCTTGACTTCAGAGATGCTTAAATTGAGATGCTTAAATGTGAATCTTAGACCTGGAACAAAGCGCATCCCTCACAGCCCCACATCAGCACCCTGCTAGCCAACCGGTATAAGTTTTCAGGCTTTAAATAAAATCCCAGTGGGTTGTTGCTGGTCCCTTAAACCTGGGGCATCTTAAACCAAAACCAGGTTTCTGGAGTCTCTTGAAAAGGCAAAGTTCCCTAAATAGCAAACCCCTGGGAAACCAGTACAGACTGCCGCTCTCCCCACTATCTGCTGGATGGCCACACTGCTTACACAGAAAGTCCCTTGATCCACTTCGGTTTGCAGCTAAGGGTTGTGGAGACGCGTAGGTGTGCTCTACTTCTCTAGCTGTCTCTGTTGAGAGTGCCACCCCTGGCTTTATCTGTATCCAGTACCTCTATGCCTCCATCCCTATCGGTGATCATTTGTACCTTTATTGTACTGTGTGCTCCTGCTTGATGTCCCTGAGCTTCTTTTTCCACACTTCTTCATTGTGTCCTCTGAGCATCTTTTCCCTGAAGAGGTCTGTTCTCCCGCATGCGAATCCTACATGTGCCTCTTCTTGTCTCTTCTCTGAATCTTTCTGGTTCTTGCATTTCGGGCCCTCTCCTCCCTCCCCTGTCCTTCTGCTACTCTTCTGTCCTGTGACTATGTCACCGTCTTTCGACTGTCTTTCCCCTCCCGGGGGCTGCTGCTGTGGGGGGACAGCCGCTGACCTCAGCGACGTCTTCCCCACAGTGAAGTTCCCGCTCACACTGCAGTGCGCTGACATCACCATCCTCGAGCCCATGCTCTGTCACTGGGCATATCCGGGCCACATCTCAGACAACATGATCTGTGCAGGTCGCTGGGAAGGGGGCCTGGGCTCCTGCCAGGTGAGACCCCGCTGTGGGGAATGGGAGTTGGGCCTATGGAGGGCACTGGGCCTTGGAGGAAGGGAGGTCTGGAAGCCTCGACTCTTGAATCTGAAAGTCCAGGCTCGGTCCTGGGGAGGTGCAGCTCTCTGAGCCTTTACTCCTGGGTGTGAGGGAGAAGAGACCCGCAAGCCACACTGCTGGGTACTGAGGAGGAGAATGTGACCTGCGTACAAGTGGTGACCAAAAAACACAGTGAAGATTTACATTAAAATACTCTTACAGTAAAAGGCACATTGCGACGAATCCCCCTCTTCAAATACACCTATCCTATGGCTCTTGCCGCTTTCTGAAGCCATTCTGGAAGTCCTCAGTCCTGGAGGTCCTCTTTCTTGAGTGTATTTGAAAGAAGTGATTAAAAAATGAGGAGAACACTGCTGCTAAGTGCCATGCAAAGAAAGGCAGGCTCAGAAAAGCACTGGCTGTCCTCACCCACCTTATTCCCCCAAGCTGGCACTATTTGACTTCTGTCTCCTGCCCACAGCCCACACAACCATGAAAGGTAAACATTGTGAATTGAATCAGGGCATCGGGGCAGCGAGGAGAACACAACTAAAGACACTCATGAAAGAGCACTTCCAGAACTGCTCCAGAAAGTGGCAGGAACCACGGGGCAAAAAGTGTGTTGGAAGCAAAGGGGAATATTTTGAGAGTGATGGGCAGCAAAATGCCTCCGACTGGAATAAAAGCTTTAAATATTCACTGTACATTTGGATCGCACCTCACAATAGAGCTGAACAGACCGACCTAACAGTTTCTCTGTTCTTTTCCCACACACAGGGTGACTCTGGGGGCCCCTTGGTTTGCAATGGGGCCCTGGCGGGCGTGGTGTCTGGGGGTGGAGAGCCCTGCTCCAAACCCCGGCGACCCACCGTCTATACTAGCGTATGCCATTATAACGACTGGATCAGAAAAACCATGGAGGAAAACAGTTCATAAGGAGTCACGGAAGGGCTAGGTGGAAATAGTCTGCCTTGGACCTAGGTTGGACCTGGAGGACAAACTCTGGACACTGACTCCGCCTCTGCACTGCGGCATGGTCACACCCCCTCAGGGTGGGGCTAGGTTCCTCCCTAGGACGGCAGGGAGAATGAACGTCAGTCCCTGGAACAGTCCAACTGCATCTCTGCCCCCAAGGAACGCGCCTACCATGTGGTCCCGCCCCCTAATTTTGCCCAATGGGACCTCTCCGCTGGACGACACTCCTTTTGGTCACGCCTTCTCAAGAGGTCCCGCCCCGTGACGGCACGACGCAGCAGCTCCGCCCACGCCGGTATCGGCTCCACCCCTTGCAACGCAGCCGTGGGCGTGTCCTGGGTTTGAATTTGACCCGGGACATCATGCGGCAGCTGGGGCGGGACGCCACGCTTTTCTGAGCCAAAGGACGATTTTACAATAAACGCGCCTTCCCTCTGCCTGCACTGTGGATGGAGGGCGCCCGGTGGGTGGTGGAGGGCGGGCAAAGGACGGGGTCCCCCTGAACCCCGCGTGAATGCAGCCTGTGGTCTGTTTCCGTCATCCCTATTGCAGCAAGGCCCTTGAACCCTGCTGGGGCTGCACCCGCCACTCCCCTGCAAGGGGAAACCAGGTCACAGTGCCTCCCAAACCTGCCTTCCCAGATCCCTCACCTCCAAGGCGGGCGGGCCTCGTCCGCCCTCGGAGGACTCGCCTTTTTTTCATTCCTGGTTATTGGCAGCAGCCCCCTCCGCCCAGAAGACCCAGCTCCCTGCCCTACCTTCCAAAGGACGTAAGAATTCCGGCTCCGGCCCCTCCTCCCTCAGGTTCAGGGGTCCGGACCCCAAACCTCCCACTCCCTCAGCCTCAGCTCTTTCCCGGGAACCCCAGCTGTGAGCTCTCCGCCCCTTACCTCTTAGTCCGAGATTCCATCTCTTCCCAAGATGTCGGTTCAGCCCCTCTGCTTGTCAGCACTGGGTTTCCCAGGGGCTTCCCCAGCTCTGTTGCGGGAGGAGGCGGGGGAAGGGGCGGGGACTCCCGGTTAAAAAGCTGCAGCCGCGTGCACCAAACCGGCAGCACCGCAGTCTGGGCCTCTTCCACAAAGTCGGAATCAGTAGGTGACCCCGCCCCTGGATTTTGGAAGGTGAGGTGGGAGGTGCTCAGACTCCGGCCTCAGCCCCGGGACCCTTCCTCCGTCCATCCTCAGAGTGCAGGAGCCCGGCCTCAACCCCTTCTCCTGCAACACTGAGCCCCAAGCCCCTTCCGGTATCCTCCTCTGCCATCCATCCTCTGACCCAGCGTTCCAAGGTGGGAGATACCCTACCGGGCACCTCAGCACTTAGATTCAGCCACGGGGTCTCCCAGATCCTTCTCCCTAACACCCCAGAACCCAGATCCTCGTCTTCATCCACCAGGACCCACAACAGCTCCGGGAACTCTGCTTGCTCCCCAGTACCAAACCGGGAGCTACAAGTCGGGCCTCCCCTTCCTGCCTTGCCCCACCCTCTCCAGCTCTGAGGCCCCGCCATGGGACGCCCCCTGCCCTGTGCATGCCTGGCATGGGCGGTCCTGCTCCTGCTGCTGGCCTCCTGGGCAGGTGAGGGGCAGGGGCAGGCCCAGAACTAGCAGGGTGTGGCATCCCTGGGATGGGGGCACACACTGGCTAAGGGGAGGATGGAAGCTGGGGATGGGGCTCTCCGAGAGGTGGGGAGCCCGCGACAGAGGCAGGGTGGCTTGGGCCCTCCTAGGGGATGTGCTGGGGCATAGTTGCCTGGGTGACTACCTGAGCCCTCCAGTTGGGTGCATGTGTGTATCTGAGTGGCCCGGCTTGGCTGCAGGCCTGGGATGGGAGGGTGCAGAATCATGCAGAGTCCTGGTCCTGCGTCCTTTGGATTCCACAGGGTTCTTTGTGGCCCTGGCCCTGACCCTGAGGGTGACCCAACCCTCACCCTCTTGCTGCAGGGCATACGGAGGCACAGGGGAGCAAGGTCCTGCAGGGCCATGAGTGTGAGGCCCACTCACAGCCGTGGCAGACGGCCTTGTTCCAGGGCGAGCGACTGCTCTGTGGGGGTGTCCTGGTTGGCCCTAGGTGGGTGCTTTCTGCAGCCCACTGCAAAAAAATGTGAGTAAATGTGGGGGTAGTGGGGTAGCTGAGGAGAGAGGGGCTGGAGCCTTAAGCTCCTGAAGGAGAAAGCTGGACCCTCTGGTCTGAAGGGAGGAGCTGGGCCTGGACCTGGAGATCTGAGGGAGGAGCTGGGCCTGGACCTGGGGTCTGAGGGAGGAGCTGGACCTGGACCTGGGGTCTGAGGGAGGAGCTGGACCTGGACCTGGGGTCTGAGGGAGGAGCTGGGCCTGGACCTTGAAGTCTGAGGGAGGAGCTGGACCTGGACCCCTTGGTCTGAGGGAGGAGCTGGGCCTGGACCTGGGGTCTGAAGGGACAGGGCTGAATCCCACTTGAGGAGGGGCTAGCTCCCAAGCTCCCTCACCTTTTCCAGGAAGTACACAGTACGCCTGGGAGATCACAGCCTGCAGAGTAAAGATGAACCGGAACAAGAAATTTCTGTGGCTCAGTCCATCCAGCACCCCTGCTTCAACAGCAGCAACAAGCATGACCACAATCATGATCTGATGCTCATCCGACTGAGGAAGGAGGCCTCCCTGGGGTCCAAAGTGAAGCCCATTGACCTGCCGGACCGATGTGCCAAAGTTGGCCAGAAGTGCACCATATCAGGCTGGGGCACTGTCACTAGCCCCCGAGGTAGTGAGTGGGCTTGGTCACCACTGGGAGGGAGGAGAGGCACTGGTTGGCTCAGAGTACCCCAAGCCATTGGCAGACTTCTTTCCACTAGGGGAAAACAAAGAAGGGAAAGTGACTATGAAGTTGGGATTCACCTGGGAGTGAGACTTGGAGGTCCTGGCGGGAGTGTTGAGCGAAGAGAGTGAACTCACACACTGTTATGCAGGGCTGAAATAATCCCTCCTGTGGGTGCAGAGCGCTTTCCCTATGACAGATTTCATTACACAAGACTTTATATACTCTCTTTAACAGACTCAGGATGTGTGGGCTCCCCAGAGGCTAAGGAAAGAGATTCCTAAGCCCCTTCTGTCCTTGAACCCAGGATCCTGTCCCTGTCCCCTCTTCTCTTTGACCTAAGTTTATCCTTCCTTGCTCAAGACTTGGTAGTGCAGTTCCCCAGCTGCCTTTTCTGTTGAAGTCATCTCTTGGGGACTTTAGAGTCTAGAAAAGCCCTCATCTTACTTCATGGTGAAAATAAATGGGGTTCAGCATACAGGCAGTAGGGCTCTCCAGACGTGTCCCTGCGTGTCCTACTCCTATTTCAAATGAGATGGTGTGTTACTGTTGGAGCACAACTGCTGAGATCTGTTCAGCCTCTGCCTCTTCTCTTCCGTGGGGAGCCCCTCTTTGTCTTCCAACCTCACGTTTCTCCTCTGCAAATTGAGAGTCATTATCTGATAGGTTTGTATGTGCCAAGCTACAACTGTTTTCTTCACTGTGCATTCCTTGAGCTTGGCGTGGTGTCTATATACTGTAGTTACTCTGTAAATATTTGTTGGATGAATGGATGAATGGATGCATGAATGGATGGATGGGTCGAGGGATGGATGCGTGGCTGGTTGCATGGATAATGAGTGGTGGGTGGATGGATGGATGAATGACAGAATAATGCATCCTTCCTTTATAGAGTTGTTGGGAAGTTCACATGAGATTGCAAACATACAGTTCCTGGAATATAGGAGCTTTCCCCCTCATGTCTGTCCCATGAAGATTAATAAGGGGATTAATTCTACTTTCAGTAATTAAGTCAGTACTTATTTACTGAGCATCTAGCATGCCTCTGGCACAAAGTCTCTGTTCTAATGAGGTCTCATACAAAGTGGGGGAAATAGAACATGAATAAATCCCTGTAAAACCAAAGATGATATAGAGTTAAGTGCTGCCATGAGTTATGTGGCGAGCATAGCAAAAACAGTGGTAGAGGGGTAGTGTTTTAATTAGAGTCATCACTTCTGGAGGCTTCTAGGAAGTGACATTTGGAGAAAGGAGGATCAATCGGAAATTGAGAACCTGGTGGTCCCAGGGCAGGGTCATTGGAGGGAGAGGGTCAGAGGTGACACAAGGGGCCACCTCCAACTTTCCCCAGGGGCATAGCTCTCCTCGGTGTTGGGAGAACTGAAGTCCTCTGAGAAATGGCCAAGCTTTGGGTGGTAAGAAGAACATGAAAGCCAGACTGAGATGGACAAGGGGCCGTTCTCTCACGACCTTTTCCCCTTCAGAGAACTTCCCTGACACCCTCAACTGTGCAGAGGTGGAGATCTTCTCCCAGAAGAAGTGTGAGGAGGCCTACCCAGGCCAGGTCACAGATGGCATGGTCTGTGCAGGAAATAGCGATGGGGCTGACACCTGCCAGGTGAGTGGCTTCTGAAATCTCTCCTCCCCATCCTGCACCTGTCCCATACAGGCTCATGTCTTGGGGAAGAGTACTGGGGAAGATGACCAAGAGTTAGCAGCCAGGGAAGTTATTCCTTTCCCTACGGAATGGAGTTGGGTTCAGAACAAGCCATGCTCCCCTTGAAGGTCTCACAGCCTAGGAACCAGAAGCACTGATTGTCAGTGTCACTTGGAAAGCCTGGCCTGCGGGATCAGAGGCAGAGAGGGAGGCTGCAAAAGCTGGGGGGAGGTATCTGCAAAGGAGAGAGTCGGATTGGAGGCTAGACAAACTGCCTGCTCCCCTTCCCAGGTCTTCTACTTGGAGTCTGTGCCCATACTACCACTGGCCAGGAAGTCAGCCACTTCTCCTTGAGCCTCGAGATGATGGGCTCCTTGGGGGGTAATGCTGGTTCAGCAGCTGGCTTGGGAACATACAGTGTTGCCTCGGGGAACTCCTATTCTCTTCCCTTGGGGTCTTTCATAGGTACACAATTCTCTTCCCTGTTGGCTGTAACTCTGGTCTGGTGTCTCCTGGTTTTGTCCCCTTCATTAAAGCTCCACCCCATCACCTACAGTGGATCCCTAGAGACAATGCCTTCTTGCTCACTGGCCAAGAATGGATTCATTTCCATCAGGGATACTGCTGTGAAAGCAAAATCTCTCCACTCGTCCATATAAGCCATGGGCTCTTTGCAAAGATTCCTTGTGTTGTCCCTTGGGGATCATGGATGGTGTGTGTCTTTGTGACCACAAGAATCCTGCTCCTTTCTCCCTTGTCTGATAACTGGAGTTTGTGGAGCAAACATCACCTCAGTTCTCTTCACATAATCCCCCCCAGTCTTTTCTGGATTGCATCCTCTAGACTTCAGTCACTCTCTCCCCTCATTGCTCTGCATTTTGTCCACCCTTAGACAACCTGTCTACATCTTTGCATTTATCCTCACTGGCTACAGGGGACCAATCACATTAAAGAACTAAGAGAAATGCTAGAAGTGGGCTGATGAGATAGCTCAGCAGTCTAAAATGCCTGCTCAGGCAAGTGCAGGGACAGGGACCATGGTTTGATCTCCAACACCACATGCTGCTCCAGCCCCGCCCCTAAGTGGGCTGAGCCTGCCACACACACATACACACACGTACAGAGAGAGAGAGAGAGAGAGAGAGAGAGAGAGAGAGAGAGAGTAAATAAATAAAAAAGAAAGAAAGAAATGCTAGAAACAACAAGAAGAAAGTTTTGTCTTTTGCTCTTTACCCATGCCCTCCAGGGCGATTCAGGAGGCCCCCTGGTGTGTGGCGGAGTCCTCCAGGGCATCACATCCTGGGGCTCAGACCCCTGCGGGCGGCCCAAGAAGCCTGGTGTCTATACAAACATCTGCCGCTACCTCGACTGGATCAAGAAGACCATGGGCAACAGGTGCTGATCGCAGAAAAAGCTGTGGATCTCTCAATAAACACATCCCTGCTGCTTCCTTGCCTGTCTGTTTTGACCCTGCAGGGACGGGTGGATCAGAAGGGGCAGGTCTTGGTGTCTGTCTTGGTGGCAGATCTAAAAGAGCAAGACCCTTTGGATTCTTTGGTCAGTTCTAGTACCCAAAATAACTCCTGATACTCTTTTTTTTTTTTTTTTCTTTTTTGGAAAGACTTGAGTGATTGGAAGGAATATTTTAGGGGAGAAAGGATATTCAAATATCCATGAGGCCAATCTGTGAAAAGTGGATTTAAAAAGTTTTTGTTTAGTTTTTCTGAGCAGCCTGAGTGTTAAAAGATTTAGGGGAGGGTCTGGGGAGATGACTCAGTGGAATAAGCACTTCCCTGGCAAGCGCAAGGGCCTGAGTTCAATCCCTGGTTCTATCACACACACACACACACAAAAAGGATTTAGGGCAGTTCCTCCCAAATTCTCTCAGTTGTGAGATATGCATAAAAGTACAGTAAATATTGACAAATCACAATCATGAAAACAACAAACAGGGAAGAAAATAATACTTTTGAAAATCCTCCTAAGTTTAGAAATTTTTTTTACACACTTTGTCAGCTGCTTAGGGGTATCAGGGGAAAAGGAACATGGTGTCCAAATTAAAATATGAAACAAAAGGCATTTAAGAAAGTTGTCAATAAGTCAAAAGTTTAATATAAATTTTCTTTCTTTTTTAATATAAATTTTCTTAAATTTATGTACTATATAAATTTATATACTATATAATCTTACAAAGGACTAATCTAAACCCAGACTGGACAGCTTAGTGAGTAAATGTCTCAAAATAAAAAGGGTTGGGGCTATAACTCAATGGTAGAGCACCCATAGTTTTTTTTTTTTGTAATTATTTATTTATTTGTTTATTTATTTATTTTTGTGTGTGGCCAGCTCAGCCCACCAGGGGGCAGGGCTGGCTGGCATGTGGTGCTGGGGGATTGAACCGCGGTCCCTGTGCTTTGCTAAGCTTGTTCTAAGTAGGTGCTTTAGACCACTGAGCCATCTCACCAGCCGAGCACCCATAGTTTTAATGCTAAGTATTGCCATAGAAAGTGATAGAGACAGACAGAGAAAAAATATAATTGGTCCAGCTCATGTTTTTTTATCAAACCATATTACAGGTCACTGAATGGCCAATTGTTTGATTGTGTTCTGCGCAGGCTACCAATGACCAAATCATTGGCCTTTTGAAGTCATGCGATATGAAACGGCTGCCTAAGGTTGCTAGAAGACCATTCCCCATGAGGGATGTGGATGTGTAAGATGCCTTGTCCGAATCAGTTTCCAGCTCTGACTGTCCAACTCGAACAGGTCCTGCCCCTTTGATTTGTCATGGTTGCTAGGGAGAAAGCATGGATCTTGTTGGATTGACCTAAGCCAAGTGGGTGGGTGGGATTAGACAACTATGATGGACAGTTTCACCAGAACTACAGGAAATGAGGCAGCATCTCCCCAAAAGAAGTGGAGTGTTGTTCTTGAAGGAAGGAGGAAGGGAATCCAGAAAGTCAAAAACAATGGGCCATCAGAGCCCAGAGGTTGAGTTAGGAGGTGCCAGAGTCATTGTGTCCTGGATCCCTAAGGGCAGGGCACAGCTGGCAGGATGGTCACATGCCAGTTCTCATATGTGGCCATGAGCTGGAGGGTGAGTCATCAGACAAAGGTTTAGGACACGAATCTGAGGGTGAGGGAGGTATGAAACTGAGTGTCTGGGTGGGACTCAGTAATAGGTATTGATATTAACCTCAGAGGACACAGGGGGCAGGAATTTAGGCTCTTACCAACGTGGGGGGTGAGCACCATTAGCAGGCCCAGGGAATGCATCATTAAGAGTGTCCTTTGAGACAAATGAGATTCAGAGCATGGGAGGGTGGAATGGGGCACTTCCTCCTGAGTGTGTGTTTGTGTGTGTGTGTGTGTGTGCAGTGGTAATACTACAGGCTTTTGCATTCAAATTCTGACCCTTCTTCCTCCTTAGCTATGCAAATTTTCTTAAGTGAGCTAATCTCTCTTAAACTGCTGTTTCTTTTTTTAAATATTTTATTTTATTTTATTATTATTATTTTTTAATATTTATTTATTTTGTGTCTGTGTGTGGCCAGCTCAGCCCACCAGGGGGTGGGGCTGGCTGGCATGTGGTGCTGTGGGATTGAACCGCGGTCCCCGTGCTTCGCTTAGCTTAGCTTGTTCTAAGTAGGTGCTTTAGACCACTGAGCCATCTCACCAGCCCTTAAACTGCTGTTTCCTTGTCTATAACCAATTACCTATTATTTATTTTTATTTTTTTTTAATTTTATTTATTTATTTATGTGTGTGTGTGGCCAGCTCAGCCCACCAGGGGGCGGGGCTGGCTGGCATGTGGTGCTGGGGATTGAACCGCGGGTCCCTGATGCTTTTGCTAAGCTTGTTCTAAGTAGGTGCTTTAGACCACTGAGCCATCTCACCAGCCCCTGTTTCCTTGTCTATAAAGTGAAGATGAAAATCCTTACTTCAGCAGATGTGAGGCAGAATAGAGCCGAGGTCTGGGAAGCGCGTATCACACCACTGTGCACGTAGACAGGATATGGAAACTGCTTCCTTCTGTGTGCGGTGGGCAAAGAACCTGGTTTTCGTTCAGGGCCTGATATATGCCCCTCAATTGTCCACCCTCCCAGCTGGCTCAAGAAGTAAGCTTTGCTCTCCTCCACATCGGAGGAGGGCTGTGGACTCAAAGACATGAAGTCACAGGATGGGCAACATACCTGGATTGAGCTGGCTTGCAAGCACACTTTCTTTCTCTGCGACTCCAATGGGATGATAGAATGGCTCAGAAATCAAAGCCAGGCTGAGCGTAAGGGTAGTGGATCTGTGGGTGCCAGAGGCTTGTAAATCAGTTTTTATTCAGGTCCCTCCTATGTTTTGTAGTCTGAGATGGGTGCTAAAGAAAACAACGGTGAACGCCTTTGCTCATGAGGACCAGGCTTTAGCAACAGAGCCAGGTTAAATATGTAGGACCAGAACTCTCACAGTGATGGACCTGCAGACACATCTGGTGACTTGGGAATGACAGCAGTGCTCCAGGGTAGCATGGCTTTTTTCCCTTTTTTAACAAAATTCTGAGAGCAGTGAGGATTGAGTGTGCGAGAAGTCAGAGGTGAAGATTTAGAAGATAACAAACTGGATGCCGTGTGAAAACTTTTCCCTTTGGGACCAGAAATGAAATTGGGATTTTAGTAGAAATCAGATTGGAAATGAGAACCAGGGTAGAGTAGGGACAGCATTAACACCGGGATTGGGTGGCTACCAGGGAGGGGCTTATGGGCAGGAATCAATGTGGGCTTCCTGCAATATGACAGGAATGGACACTAAAGTTGGTGTCCTCTATGAGGTACTTTTGGGACTAGGGCTATGGTGGAGAGATAGTAAGTGTTTGAGTCAAGGCTGAGTTTGCCTTATGAGTTAGGAGTTCAGGGTCAGATCAAGAGTTAAGGCTGAAGCGCTCTGAGGTTAGATCCTAGCCCGCATTAATAGCTGGAGTCAGAAATTCAAGTTTAGGTCTGGGTTTAGGTATATATTGATGTTGGTCACGGATGAAGCAGGATTTGAGGTTCAGTACAAGTTGATGCTTGGGGTTAAGCCTAGGGCCATGTCCATATTGGTGTTGGTTTGGCATTAGAACGATGCCTGAGGCCAGGATCTGAAGTCTTTCTGCCCCTCTGAGAAGCCTCCAACCACACCTGACAACCTCCCATCCATTCACAGCGCCACCACCCCAGCAAGCATTTAAAGCCTTAACCCCTCCTTCTGCCTCTTCATGTCTCCATCCCCTCTGTGGCCACAGCCTGTTGCTTCTCCCTTCTAAGTCCAAGCAGAATCTGTGTCCCTAATGTCATCGCCACTTCCCAGGGCCCTTACCCAGTCACCGTCACCTTTCATCTGGGCAACAATGACTTCTTCATAGTCTGCCAACATCTTCCCATCTCCCTAAATCCCTTCTTAAACAGAAGCCAAAGCGATGTTTTGAAAACATAAATCTTGTTAGGCTATTTCCCTGAAGTCCAAAGTACCCTTCTTTGTCAGACTCGCCCTGCGCTCTGAAAAGTACTTTGTGGTGTGGCTCTGGGCTGCATCCACCCCACCTCCAGCTGGGGGCCTGGTGCACACTGTTCCCTCCGCACAGGGCACTCTCCACTCCTCGCTCCTCCCGTTCTTTCTAGTGAACACTTCCCTGTGCTTTCAGCTTTCTGTTCCCTGTCACTTCCTGGGTCCAAACTGCCTGATGTGCTTCAGAACCCCGCTGGACCTTTCCTTCAGAGCATATTTTATAGCTGCAGTTGTATACTTGTTTATGAGTGTTCTATGATTTTATTGTTCTTCTGCACAAGATTGTCAGTGCTCTGAGATGAGGGACTCTACCCAGATTTGGGCATCACTGCATCTTCGGCATCTCACCCAGCCTATCACATAGCCGGTGCTCGATATATGCTCATATAATGTTGTGTAGAACAAGCTGTGAGCCAGGAATGCCTCTCTTATTGACTGCTACAACTTCACAATAAGGATTCTGAGCTGGGAATTGGGTTCAACCCTGAGGTGTTAGTAAGGGCAAGTTTGGCTGTAAGATCCAAGTAACTCTATCCCAGGCAGGAAGCCTGGTAGAGCCACAAGATGAGGAAATTCCATTGTTGGATAATTTGCCAGTGCAACGACATCATATGATTGTCACTGTTTGGCCATCTTTAGTATTTAGACTTGATCCACCATCCACTTATTCTTTTTCTTTTTCTTTTTTTTTTTTTTTCTGCAAAGCTTTATTCCGGAGGGGCTCAGTCCTTCTTGGCAGCTGCCTTCCTCATGGCGGCCAGCACGTTGCTCAGCTCCTCACGCTTCCTCTTGGCGCGGATGTGCGTCCCCACTCTTTTCTTGATGAACTTGAGGGCGCGCTTGTCCTTGG